CCCCGGCCCGGCAGGTAAGTACATTGGGAAGTCAGGGGCACCAAAAAGGTGGAGCCGATCCGTTACATGAGGGCCGTCCCGGATAAAGTTAAATCTGGTCAATGGAGTGCCCCATGACTCATGCCAAAGAATTACCGAGTCACCACGGCTATCTGGCACCCAGGCTTGTCTATTGGGCACGAAATCGACCTAGAGCACATTCTTCAGTTGATATTTATGCTAAAGAAACTTACTTGACAGACAGTACTTTCCCTGGCATTTCCGCTCCACTAGGTACCGGGGATGGTAGTCCGCCGGCAGGGTACGTAAGAACGAACACTCCCGGCACAGCGGGATGCCCTCAGAGTCGTCCTCGCAGGACAGAGGGGTGAGATGACCGAGTTCTGAGGCGGCATCAGACAACACAATGTTGTCCTCGGAGTCGGCGCACCGGATAATACGGTCGGCGAGCACTGAGGCCAAATATCAGACAGAAAATATTAGATTTTTTTTTTTACATTCCAACATCTAATCACAAGACGTGGTGACGACACACTCAAGTTTTTTTTTTCAACTTATATTAATGCCGCCACCATCAAAGGGGACAATACAATACTCATTTTCACCTGAGCGAAGTGACGAAAGTCTTGTAAAGTGCGCCTTTCCCAAGGGCACAAGATCGGTGACATGTCAAGACTCGAACCCGGGACCTCGTTCACTCCAAACTCAAGCTGGATTCTGTCTTTATAATTAGTGAACGCTAAGATTTGTGTATGGCAATATAGATTTACAGTTTAATATTGATATTTGTGCCTTAGCTCAACCCTAAGCCATATAAGGTTTTCAAACATTGTATGGAAATCTCTAATTTAAACGTAATTATATTTTATAAATCATATGTGCATAGATATGCTGAGTACGTATGATAATGTAATGTAATGTATCTATGTATATGTACATGTATGATTATGTGATTGTATGTAAACAAGCCTGACAATTCGGCTCTAAGATCGCAATTTCAACCAGGATGTCGTTTCTGACAAATAAATAAACAATTCTTCTACTACTACCTCTACGCTCGCTTCTATATCTGTAGAACATATGCTCTTGATTGAAAAACAAACAAAAAAACATAAAACAAAAAAAAAAATTGCACGGTGTGTAGAATACAAGAATACATGTATAAGCATAGGTGGTTTCCTCTCTGCGTTTTCTTCTCGCTGCATACGTGCATACGGTATGACTCCTCCTGACTTACCCTCTCTGCGAGACTGTTCATTCACCGCGAGATCCTGCGAGACAAACGAGAAAACATTGACATCGAACGAACATATGAGACAAAGCCTCTGATTGGTCATCTCATCAATTCTAAGTAATTAGCCAGTACCATTACGCAATGCTTTAATTGATCTTATTCAACACAGCTTACGTTCATTAAATTCATATCATTAATTATTATTCATCCACTGATGTGCATCGCTAGAAAATACGGCGATTTACCGTTTATTTAGATGCAAAAAAAAAATTCAATATGACAAGCTTCTAAACTAAGAATTATTAAGTTATTAAATACGATTTCTACTTCTACAGCCGTAAGAATGATCACATACCACAGAATCTTCGGCTTCCCAGAGATCTTCGATGGTTTTCGGGTCCTGTTTGGGGGACAACCTGGCATCTTCCACCTTCGTGGCCCCCAACAAAAGTGCGACTCCAAACAACACCTACAGCAAAACATCGGTGATTTCAGACTTCTGAGAAGTGTTTTAGCTATCCATTAGTGTACAGCACTACACTGGACATCTGAAGAGAAAGGAAAGCAAGGACGGCAAACCATTGAACAACAAAACCAAGGTCAACATTACTATTCCGTATGTACAAGGAGTATCTGAGAAACCCCGACGTATCTTCCCTAATATCATAATACTATAATCAATAATCTGTGCTTACAAACCTAGCTTTCTCCTCTGGTCTCTCAGTCACTGACGAAAGGTAGTGATGCTAACTGAAACGTCTGACCGTTTCCAAAATCATATCCAGTTGCCCGAGTAACTGCTTTTTGGCGTATTTAAAGGCAATTGTTGCTACAAAAGATTTTATACTTTGTGAGTTGGACCTAATTCTTCCCTTCAATCCCCTTAACAAATTACACCAACTTTCTGATAAACAGAAAATTTTAATTTAAGAAAACATATAATAAAACCTTACCAAAAGAGCCATGGTTCGCTAAATTGCCCCGTAAAATTGTCGAGAAGGCAGAAAACCGTGTCAGCTACCTCGAAGATTACCCGTAAGGATTTGGTAGAACAACTCCGCTCTCGAAGACGTTTTATATGCAAATGTTTTAGAGGAGTTCACACCTGCACTCAGCCTGTTTTCTGACATTTGCGATGACGCGTCCATGTGCGCAACCGTGCGACTGCATTACGAACTACACCATGAAAGACGATCTAAAAAGTGTCTACCAAGCCTGGCTACCAGACCTATTTTTCGAAAGGATAAAGAGTAGAGACCTTAAATAGGTCTGGTAACCAAGCTAATTTCTACTAGCTTCCATATTTTTATCCTTCATTTGTTTCTTTGTTTGTCTGCTTTTGTTTCCAGTCCTGTTGGTGTTACCTGCGGATAAAACAGGGAAGTATTGTTTTGAGCATCTGGTCGTCTGTATGTTTCGTGTCCGAACGAGTAGGTAACCGGTAACATGAGGATGTTGTGGTGCAATACTACCGAAGGATACTATAAATAACCATGTCGTTCGGAATTCAACAAGCATTTCCTTTCTCCATGCTACATATCTAAAATATACTTTCTTTTCCAAGTACGAGTCTTCCAGAAGTGCTACATGTAAAATATGACACAAAGTCGTCTTTGAAGGGCAGCAAACGTCAGTTTATTTTCACCTAAGGTAATTTTAAGGATATCATGATACGAATTCCACAGTAAACCTAAACAATCAAAGAAATACTTCCATATATTCACCATGATATAGGTCAGAAAACTTATATCTAATCACCACCCCTGACTGTAAAGAGACAGGCGAAAACACCATAAACAGCTGTTTGTTTCACAATATCTTTACATGTCTGCAAGATGAATGTGGCAATACACATGGGACCGTATACAGTGCGTAAGCGACACCTAGCTGAAGTGCGTAGTATAACAGATCGGTAGTTACCCCTAGGTAGTTGACAGGAGGTCGACAAAATGTCGACTTGTAAAACTCTTTTGCTTGCGAATAAAGAACATTGTCATACAAACAATTACTGTTTATTCTAATTATACTGATTAAAAAAGTACTTTACTTTAGATATGGACAATATGTAGATCTTTAACCTGTGCTATCGGTTACGTTGCTAGCTTTGATTCCGATTTGCTGCCCTGACACTATGACGAGGGTACTGCGCCTAGCGAATGAAATAGTCTTTCAAGATTGAGTTTTCGTTGAGAAGGCACCTGCAGCCTGCAGCGATCCGCACTAAGATGGTCTCACCCTCCCTGTCCGGGGCAATGTTGCGGACCTCGACAGACATATACTGCTGCAGACACTTCCCTTCATCTGGAATGACAAAAGCAAGAAAAAAATAATAAAAAGTTCATCTGAATTGGTAATTGACAAAATGAGAAATAAGTTGCTTTTCACCTTAAAAAACGAATCTTTAGTGATGTAGACACGAGCGTGAATTTTTACTGGGTCAAAGTTCGTCGGAAGTCGAATCAGGGCTAGGCAACCTTCTCTCAACCGGGACGGGGGACAGTACCGACTTCAGACGAACTTTGACCCAGTGCGTACATGTACGTCACACATCACGTGTCTACAGCCCTCAGAAAGCCGAAGAAGACCGAGACATTTGGTGGAGAATTCCAGGAAATCAAATTCTTGTTATTTGAAGAACAGTTTATTTATTTCTCATTATAAAAAAGAAAACATTTTGTTTGCCGTAATTTGTTGCTCATCAGATTTTTACAGGCTCTATGTGACATCTGACATCTGCCATAAAATAGCAATGGCATGATCTGTAAGGTTAATGTTGTAGTGCAGGAAGTATAGTCTCTACAAGATTCCCGACAATGCCACACTGACTTGATTTTATGGATGACATCCTTGCGCTTATACATTTTCACTTGTTCTCAAAAATCACCTCCTCTTAGTATTGAGCTCCACGGAACTCCGGAACACATCGAATTAGTTACTGTGACCTAAAGAAACTTACGCATTAAACAGTCCTGGCCCTGGCATTTCCGCTCCACTAGGTATCGAGGAGAGTAGTCTGCCGGCAGCTCACGTAAGAACGAACACTCCCGGCACAGCGGGATGCCTTTGGAGTCGTCCTCACAGGACTCAGCGGAGAGACGGCCGAATTCTGAGGCGAAATATCAGACAAGAAATGTTCAGTTTTGGACCTAGAACAGCCCAAACTGAAGCTGAATCCTGTTTTTGTAATTAGTGAACACAAAGATTTGTATATGGCAAAATAATTTGCCATTTCCGATGCTTCATAAAATTTGCAAAACATTGAATGGAAATTTCTAGGTTTAACGTAATGATATTTTATACAGCATATTCGTATATATGCGTGTAATACTGCAATGTATATATATATATATATATGATTATGTTATGTGTATGTGTTGTATGTAAACAAGCCTCATAATTTGGCCCTAGGATCGCATCTTTAACCAGGATATCGTTTATTAGAAAAAAATTCTACTACCTCTACGCCCACAGTTAAACTCTGCTAACCTATATTCTGTAGAGCATTCTCTTGAATAAAAAAGAAAACAAAAAGAAAACTTTAACGGTATATAGAATACAAGAATATACGCATAGGTGTTTTCCTCTCTACGTTTTCTTTCCGCTGCATACGTGCATACGGTATGACTCCTCCAGACTTACCCTCTCTGCGAGACTGTTCATTCACCGCGAGATCCTGCGAGATAAACAAGAAAACATTAACATCCAACAGACAAATAAGACAAAGCTTCTGATTGGTCATCTCTATTAATTCTTAGCAATTATGACACCCTTACGGAACGTTTTAATGAACCATATACAACAGTTTACGTTTATTAAAGAAAAATCGCTTTAATCAACAATATACAACACAGTTTACGAAAAATGCTACATTGTACATGTTTCATTTCTTGTGCAATAATATTTAACTCACCTCTGCTGTTCGAACCCACAGAAATACGTATAATTATGATCCCCCACTGATGTTAATGGTTAGAAAAAAACGGGTTCTTCTTTTGTCCAACATTTTGGCGTGGTCATTATATGCAAAGAGCTAACCCGTCCGACTGACAACAGTAAGCAGACTCTACTTTCGACCTAATTTTTTTCTCATGTATCCATCCGCCCTGGGCAGCTGCAGGCCAGACCTCATCACCCAGGTCTCTAATTATGCCCACTAAACTGGTGAAATGAACAAAGTTTGATCAAACTAGGAAAATTTAGACCCTACCTGTTCCGTCTAGCCCAAAAGTCCCCAAACTGGGCCAGGGAAAAATGATTTTCAAAAATATTAACTAGGCACTACCATCGTTTCCATTCTGTGACCTCTACTGTGTAACGTAATTTTGACGTCTGCCCTTAAGCCTAGCGCCTAAAGGCGGTTTACTGTCTATTCAGATGTAAATAAAACTCAATATGACAAGTTTCCAAACTAAAACTATATGTTCCCCACATAACCTATGAATGATGACTGCAGAGAAGTAACTTCAGTTATAGAATACTATTCACTTCAACATCTACCTCTAGAGCCGTAAGAATGATCACATACCATAGAATTTTCGGCTTCCCAGAGTTCTTCGATGGTTTTCGGGTCCTGTTTGGAGGCCAGCCTGGCGCCATCTACCCCCATCGTGGCCCCCAACAAAAGAACGACTCCAAACACCACCTGCGGAAGACAACAACAAAACATCGGTGATTTCATACTTCTGAGAAATGTTTAGGCATCCCTTATTGCATTGGAAATGTCGATTGTATGAATTGAATTACATTATAGAATGGATTGCAACGACTGTATTATGTATTGCACCGTATCTTTTAAACCTCCTTGGTTTATGCTTCATACCACGATTACGCCAAATGCATTCCTGACGCCCCACCAAGGACAATATTATCGGGTCACAACCCTGTCTATCAACAGAACCCGAATCTCCGCCCTCTCACTTCAAATCATTGCTGCTAAGGACAAAAATACAGGCCCCTACCCCCATAACTATGCAATGTGTCACACTCACTGTTAATCTGTTTTGAACATGGCACATATTACGTCGACATTATAATATGTCATAGCAGTGAAAAAAACGAAAACTCATTATTTTCCCCCAAAGCTTAATTCAAGGTTTAACACATTAACAAGGCATAACACACTAAAAAGGCATAACACATTGACAACGCATGACACGGAATTCCTTCAACAAAATAACGCAGGCTCTCTAATAGCGGGAAAATATTGAGAAANTAGAATGGATTGCAACGACTGTATTATGTATTGCACCGTATCTTTTAAACCTCCTTGGTTTATGCTTCATACCACGATTACGCCAAATGCATTCCTGACGCCCCACCAAGGACAATATTATCGGGTCACAATCCTGTCTATCAACAGAACCCGAATCTCCGCCCTCTCACTTCAAATCATTGCTGCTAAGGACAAAAATACAGGCCCCTACCCCCATAACTATGCAATGTGTCACACTCACTGTTAATCTGTTTTGAACATGGCACATATTACGTCGACATTATAATATGTCATAGCAGTGAAAAAAACGAAAACTCATTCTTTTCCCCCAAAGCTTAATTCAAGGTTTAACACATTAACAAGGCATATCACACTAAAAAGGCATAACACATTGACAACGCATGACACGGAATTCCTTCAACAAAATAACGCAGGCTCTCTAATAGCGGGAAAATATTGAGAAAACCTACCAGAAGACATATGAACAAAATCTTACCATAAGAGCCATGGCTCGTTAAGTTGCCACGTAGACTTCTCGGGAACACAAAAAAGCCGTGTCAGCTACCTTGAAGACTACCTGTAAGAATGTGGTTGAACAACTCTGTTCTAACAGACGGTTTTATGTGCACGTGTTTAGGGAAGTTTTTATACTTGGACGTTTTCTAACATTTACCATATAAGGCCTATTGCTTAACTGTTTTTGAATTGGTAATGATAGACGCATGGAATGGAAAATAGCATACATAAATTATACATATCGTACGGCTTTTGGTCGTCTACATACCATGTCAACACTCTGAAGACAGGACAAACCCTCCCCAAGTAAAATGGTTCATTCCAATTCAATGGAGTGGTTAGAGCGACGACATGTTGTTGTCGGGAAGACTATCCTGAGGGGCTGTCTGGCGGGCAGACAGTACAATTACCTTTGGTCATACATGTAGGTCTTTGGTTAAATACACTGAAACAAGTCCCCATGAAATTTATTTCTCACATTTTAATCTCAAACATTCTTCTGCACCAGAGAGCCACAAATATATAAAGAAAATCCCGGGGTTGATCAGCTCAAACTCTTACAACAGTTGACAACAGTGAACAAACCCTACTTTTGACCTAATTTTCTTATGTATCTATCCGCCCTGGGATACGTCTGGCCTGGTTCTGGGGGACACCGGACAAGACAGCAGTCCAATTTCGAACCCAATCTCCTGTCGGGTAGTTTACGGGCTGTTCTCAACTTTGAGGGGCCCTGTAGGGCGCCTTACGGCTGCCGGCTAGTTTTGGGGCTCGGGCGGAAAGTTCTAAGATTGAGTTATGTTAAAGCGGTAGATTTTCTTGTCGAAAATGGTCATTCTATTCCTGATTTTCCTTTACCTAGGACTACACAATGGCAATGATGCTGAGTCAGAGATGGATTGACCCACGCCTGACCCTCAACTCTGAGTGTCTGAGATCTCACTGGCTGGCGCCATAGCTACAGGTTCGTATGTTAAACTGCAACAAGTTCCAGTGGACTGACATCAATCACCATTTTTTTTAAGTTCAAACTTTATTAATATTCACAATGTTACATTAAATGAGATACATAGTTGACATACATGTACACTCGTGTGGGATGATACATACGAATCAAGGACAGTTTTTTTTATAAAAGGTAACGTTATCTGGGGGTTGTCTGTATATAATATATCAAGTAAAATGTTCCCATTGTTCATTATGTTCTATTTCTATAATTTGGTTTAGTCTAGGCTTGAAAATTGAATGTTTTGGTTTGCAGTTTGTTATGAAACATGTGTATAAACAATATTTAGCGGTAAGAATACAGTGTGCAAGTGCACTAACATGGCGAGGGTTGTCAATTATACCGTAAGTAATATATTTTTCACCATTTCTTTATATTTTCGGTTCATGATCAACTTTCTACCATCTTGACTTTGGACTAAATAGATATTTGAAATGAATTGAACAATGAACTAATTTTGGAACATTGTGAGATTTTTTCATCCCGTCTCTAAGAATGTAGCGTAGTAAAGATTTCTCACATGTACCTTAACATGTGGTAAACATAACAAGGGAGATAATAAAAAAATCATCGGAAACTGCATATCATAATCTCCGTATATTTTCTCCATATGACACAAGACAATATGTACTACGAAAACCATGGCTACACAAACACGACATTTGTAACATATTTTAGTCATTATCCTTTTACCTAATGTAAAACAAGCAAGGAAGTAACTAAAAGAATTATTACTCACTTGGCTCGGACAGAAATAACCTGTATGGGGTTGGCTTTCATCTTGTAGAATATAAAGGTGGATGGTGTTATTACCGCCTGCGCGTAAATTCATGAAATAAACGGCTATTATTAATCCAAAATGTGTATTCATAACCCAAAATCCAGGTGAAGTACCTTTTATTCAATGCGTTTCAAGTACTACTAAAACTGTGTGAAGTTTGGTCTCAGTGCGACCAAGCTATCAAAAGTTACAGGGATATTTTTTCATAGAATACTACTTTCCCATAGACTGGGCCGCCTTAACCCAACCCATGTCACCCACAATACGGCGAGACAATGCTGACCTTTCTGACCAAGGTAGCTAAGTCACAAACAGGTTGGACCGGTCATTTCGGCCCAATGCGCAATGTGTAGACTACTGTTGGCATCGATAAAACCAAGCAGGTTACAGTGACGGTGGAAGGGAACAGGTAGGGTCTATATAAGCTAAACATTTTCCCAGTTTTGTCCGCATTTATTGTGTTCTCCACCTCACTTGGCATAAGAACAGACCTGAGTTGTTCTACTAGCCTCCTGCGCAGACTTCTAACAGGGCAAAGTTTGTTTCTACGAGCTGCTAGAGCGGTGGTTACTTTTCGGGGAGGGGGGAGGGAACTGTATCCTGCTAGCCTGGTTACCAGACCTACATCCTGTCCGCGGAGCTATAATAGGTCTGGTAACCAGGCCATCATCCTGCAGGCGCTAACCGACGCCGTGGCTCGCAGAAGTCTGCACAAGAGACTAAGCTCTTTGGTCTGGAAAACCATGAGTGGGTGGATATATGAGAAAATTGTTTTGGGTAGCGTTTGCTTGTGTGTGTGTGTGTGTGTGTGTGTGTGTGTGTGTGTGTGTGTGTGTGTGTGTGTATGTGTGTAAGTCACAAAGAAACAAACAAACAAATATTTTATCTACCTATCAGGAGAACAGTCACGAAAAATGGATTCCCCACTGCGAATGGGCACGGACTACAGTGAGCCGAAGCACTTTGACCCGAAGGAGTACTTGGCTATGAGCTGCTCACCACAAGAAGGAAGTGAAGATGAAAAATATTTCCGTGATGTTCATTTGAAAGAGATCCACAAGATTTTCGATTCAGGCAAGATAATTAAACTGGCGGAGCTTATGGATATAAGGAGGCCCGCATGTCCTTTTCCGTAATCGGCCGTTATGATTCCACGTAAAGCGTACTCTGACGCTCTAATTCAACGTAGATCGTAATTGGCGCATTTTACGTAGAGCGTAAATAGCCGTTTTATTATGGGTTCACCACACCACGAAGTGGTGGTGAACCCATATTGCTTTTTCTGATGTTTCTTCTCCTTCTCCTTCTCCTGCCATTCAGCTTCTTCATTTTAGGGCCCAAGGTCCTGAAATTTGGTATGGAGGTACAGTGGGCAAATACCCCTAGGCGTTGTTTAAATTATTGTGATACAGGCTTTTAGAATGGTTTTATTTGAGTTTTTTGGCTGTGTTATAGCAAATGTATTACTGTGTTAGTATGCCCTGTTTACAACGTTTGGGCATGAGTCATCACAATGGAATGCAGGGCATCAACCAATAGGCATGCAGCTTTCCTCTATTCTTCTTGCTGATTGGCTGTTGGGATTTAACTTGATCAACACCTGCACAGAGCATTTCCACCTGCACAGAGCATTTCTTGCTGATTGGCTGTTGGGATTTAACTTGATTAACACCTGCACAGATCATTTCCATACTGACAGTATGTCTGTATTCAAGTGTTTTGGTAGGTATTTCAAGCTTTCCTGCTCCAGCATTGGAATGCGGGGCATGGACGTTTTTTTTATTTTGAAAATCAACAGTTTCACCCCATTCGATCACCTTCCACGATAACTATCGTAGAAAGGGGACCACCATCCATCGATACATATCGGGGCAGAGGACTACGCTCGTCCTACAGCGTACACCTTCCACGATAGCACAGCGAGTCTGAGGGAAGGTTCTACGCTGGTGGGGTCACCGTCCAGTACAGCAATGCATGCTGGAGTGACGAAAGGTCGTCAGATTTTCCAATATGGCGGCTTTCATGTCCACCTGATACACAATATTACGGTTTATAGTGGGGCCAAATTTGAACGGCGGGACAAGGCTCCTCGCGCAGTTATATGTATAATCAGGTGTGCGACCCTGACCTAGGGTCACGTATTAATCTGACCTTAAGCTAGCATGGCATGGCGCCCCATTTTGGTGCATTTTCGGACATTTTGATTATTTTTAAAACGTTATATTCAGGACGTTAGACGTATTATGCCGCGACGAGATTTTTTGTTATGTTTATAGTATTTTCGTGGGAACCATCAACCGATGAAATACTATGACAGACGGACAGTTTAGCATGTCTACAGCTTGAATATTTGTGTGCTCGATCGATCGACTATATATTTATAAACATCACATCCAGTGAAGGCATGTGTACTACGTATACGCAAGGAGGTAAGATCAGGTAAATATTGGTAGGTATTTCTTCTTGCACACTGCACACATATCGGATGTTCCTACACTTGGCCGAATAAATTTACTCTACTAGTCTACCCTACTCTTCTCTACTCATACAAAGGCCCATAAGTACAATGGATACTACAGACAAATCCTAATGTGGGAATATCTGCTTAGACTAGAGAATGTCTAGTGCTTGCATGTCTAATTTTAATGTACAGAATTTTAATGTAGACAAGAGAATATGACAAATAAAAGCAGTAAAAAAGCAATAGATCAGTTGGTAGCAAACTTGTCAACAGGGATTTTTTTCAAACCTTTCATGCTAATGAGGAATAGAAACAGCTTTGCATTTGATGAAATGCACATCAAGTTTAGCCTACATGTATTATAATCCCTGTATAATCAAGGGAACTCACAAGCATGATAGATTACATGCATATGAGGGAGAAACATCTACATTGATCTGGGATTACATTGATGGGGAACAGGATGAAGGGAAAAGTTATCAGGTTACCGCACTTTTGTATTATCTGAAAAGCTTAATGTGCATTTCTTCATACACTCAAAAGTCAAGACGTTTCTGTAGAACATAAGTAGCCTTGTCAGAATATTGACAGTTTGCTACCGAGACACCTCTCGCTTTTTCCTCCGTTCCCTTAGTACAAGTATTTAATATGGCTGAATTGATGCAGGATATCACATAATAATCAATAAATATTCTCAAACAATCAAATAATACACATGATACACATATTTGCAAGGATAATAAGGTGCCATAAGGTGACCTCAATATAACTTTCCCCAAACAAAGTTAAGTACCCATTCACACCTGGGTGTAGTGAGAAAAATCATGTATAGTGCCTATCCCAAGGGAACAAATTTGGGGCGCATGTCCAGACATGTCCCAGGTACAACTCGGGATCGAATTTCCACTTTCTGTCGGCGCACAGATGGTACTGTAGCCACTCCCCCTCTAATTAATCCCATTCCCCCATCCCGTCTCCCTTCCCCCGGTCATTCGTGCTTCCACACCTAGCTTGTGTGGCAGCATTTTTTCTAGGCTCCTCTTGCTTCTTCTTCTGTTCTCGAGCGACCCCCGTTCATTCCCGCTACGATGCCCAAGGCCAAGTCCAAGTCGCGCCGGAGCCCGCGTTCCTCCACACGGTCGTCTTCGACAGCTTCCGAGGCACTGGCCGGAGGGAGCAAACCCCGTCCTACGGAGGAAATCGACAGTTCTTCCTCCGATTCAGAGGATCCCACTCGCAAAGACAAGACACGCCGTGACCCACCGCGCTTTCTGGACATTCCCCCTCCCTCCGACAAGAACCTGGAGCAGTCCCATCAAGCGCAGATCCTGGCCGCCATCACCCGCCTAGAAGAGCGACAATCGTCGGTGGATCTCAGGATACAATCACTCCAATCCGAGATCCGTGCTACCAGCAATCCAACTTCCGCATCACCGGCCATTTCCTGGCGCCACGATTCCAACAAGTACAACCACAACTTTAACACTAAGATCCAGAACCAACTCCAACAGGCGCGTGCGACCAAGTCAGCGGACGAAAAGGACAAGATCCTGGACCAAGCTATAGGTGAGCTAACTTCCCGCAATAGGGACATACTTTTAGCCGACAAGGCTTCCTGGTCGGCCGTTAATATTTTCCACTCTAACAACGCCCTCCCTTTTGCCAACAAGGAGGAAGAGCAGCGGTGGCAAAAAGCAGTCGACGAGGACAGACGCCGGTACTCTAACAAACCCTCCTCTTCCTACAGGTCTAACAATAGACGCACCCCATACGACTCTACGGCGAACGGTGCCACGACCTCACGTAACAGTAACAACCAGGGTAACACACAGCAATCCAACCCTGTCAACAGTAACACACAGCAGTCCTTTCGCCCCCCCAGCACATGTTTCACTTGCGGCCAACCAGGCCACTTTTCAAAGGAGTGTACCAAATTCACCAAGTCGACTTAATTTTACCGATTCACCGCTTTTTTCCCCTCTCAGTTTTGTGTCTACTACACCTCCCGCTAATTCAACCCATCCGCCCTTACCAGAGCCCCTTGATCTCGCCTCTACAGA